TCCGGAGAGCTGTGAGCTGTTTTTTTCTTAAAGCATTTTCAAGTATCAAGCATCATTGACCTACATTTGATTAATTTTGCTGTCTTATAACTGAATTTATGAGGTGATGTACCTCTAGTGAGTTGCCCAGCCCTACTTATATGTTTCTGTATGTGGCCCTCGGTGAAAAAAGCGTGGACACCCCTGAGTTAAATAATAGTTTGGCCCTATTGCACTGCAGCATGTTAAATTACAGTCTCCATTCATTAAAAAAAGTACACCATTTGAGATAATTGTCTTTCTTTTCTCTTCTCAGACGAGCGTTGAAGACAACGTGAACTACGCGGCCATCATAGACGGGATCAACAGCGTGAGCAGATACGGTACGTCCGTTTTCTTCTTCTTCTCTCTCTTTGTCTCTTCTTCTGTGGTGATTACTTACGTTTTTTCTTGTCTGCTGTCCAGGTAAGAGTGCGGAGGTTTCACCCTTCGCCCCGAGAGGTCTCCTGCCAAACTCCACGGATAAATACTTCATTTACAACGGCTCTCTGACCTCGCCTCCCTGCAGCGAGACGGTGGAGTGGATCGTCTTCAAGAACACGGCGGCCATCTCTGACGACCAGGTGAGAGGCTGTTCAAAGGAACATCACTTTTAGAAACTTCTCAGAGTTATATAAAAAAATATGAATTCTGTGATTTTCAGGAAATAAATCTGGCAAAAATAAAATCTGTCACTCTTTAAAGTAGAGACACTACATACTGATATACACCTGAACATCAGCAGGAGAGGACTCTTTAAAGTAGAGACACTACATACTGATATACACCTGAACATCAGCAGGAGAGGACTCTTTAAAGTAGAGACACTACATACTGATATACACCTGAACATCAGCAGGAGAGGACTCTTTAAAGTAGAAACACTACATACTGATATACACCTGAACATCAGCAGGAGAGGACTCTTTAAAGTAGAGACACTACATACTGATATACACCTGAACATCAGCAGGAGAGGACTCTTTAAAGTAGAGACACTACATACTGATATACACCTGAACATCAGCAGGAGAGGACTCTTTAAAGTAGAGACACTACATACTGATATACACCTGAACATCAGCAGGAGAGGACTCTTTAAAGTAGAGACACTACATACTGATATACACCTGAACATCAGCAGGAGAGGACTCTTTAAAGTAGAGACACTACATACTGATATACACCTGAACATCAGCAGGAGAGGACTCTTTAAAGTAGAGACACTACATACTGATATACACCTGAACATCAGCAGGAGAGGACTCTTTAAAGTAGAGACACTACATACTGATATACACCTGAAAATGTGCAGAATATGTCCTCTTTAAGTAAACATTTAACGTTAGTATGTCGTTCCCAACGCACCCATGGCTAAATGTTTAATATTCCCAATGTATTTTGTTAGTTAAGTCGCTGCCGACTTTATTCCGTATTACATCAGGCCACAATCTTTTCCAAACCTTAACAGACTGCTTTGACTTCCTTAGTGTAACCACTCTGACGTTTATTGATGCCTCAGTCACTAAAAGTCTATATTGAATTGCAGCAATGGGTATTTTGGCAGAAAACATGAACCACGTTGTCATGCACGGTGCTTTTTTTTCCAGCCTCACATTCACACAGTTCAACCACAGCATGTTCACTGAGCGGAACCCATTCACTTCTCCCATCCGCAGAAGAACAGGGGATTTGAACCGGCAACCACAGACCTTAAATCCTGATATATATACACACAGATTCCATGACAAGAACATAATCATGCAGTTGAGGTGAGGAGTCCACAATGGACTAATAAACGATCCCAAATTGAAATGTTCCAACATGGTAACGTGGAAACTGAAGCAGGAGGAGGAGGAGGACTGTTCTAGCAATAACTTCATTTTCACAGAACCAACTAACAAACCACACCAGGGCAATCATGTCATTATGCAGGCAGCGTCTGCATCAGAAGGCTTTTTTCATGCATGTTCCTGAAAATGAAACACCTCCTCAGCAATTTGGGGGAACCATATTATAATAGATGTATTCCCTTAAGGACCGTTCACCAAAGTCAATGAAGTGTAACGTAAGGAAGTGCATTGCCCCGTGTTTTCCTGTCACAATGATCCCATCCAGACACGGCTGTGGCAGATTCACGTGGGATTAAAAGCGGCTGCACACCGCCCTAATCCTGACGGAAACCACCAGACGTTTCTAGGTAGCTCAAATCCCATTTAAAAAGAGCTTCAGCTCAGCAGCCTCCGCTCTGTTTAGTCTACAGACCTCCACTTTGTCAGTTTGTTGAAGTCACTGACATGATGTGACCTGACCCCGCTGGATTTACATACAGGAGGGAAGCTGCCATCTTGTCTTACAACGTCAATGTTTATAGACCCTTTGCTACCGCTTCCCCGAGGTCACGGCCTCTCAACTCCTCTCACTCACACACACACACACACACACACACTTGTATTTCCTGGTGAGAGCAAAGAGGGGAAACTAGAAGACCACGGTGTCGCTTCTCTGGTAGCTGGAATATGCTTTAGATATAGAAGTGCATGGAAGTGTTTTGTGGAAAAGTGTTTTTATGCACAGATCCTACATGACAACCTACATATCATTACAATTAGACCTCATTTTCACAAAAACCTTTCAAACATAGTTTAGTAAGAACCAGAAGTGGAAAAGGTACTGAAATCCTGCATTTAAAATTGTATTCAAGTAAAAATACCAACAGTCGAAGTACCCATTATGCAGTAGGTCCCATTTGAAAATCCCATACACTGAATTTGTGTATTAAATGTGTTATTAGTGTGTTGGTATATAAGCTGGTAAGGTGAGGTTTATTTAAATTACTTTACTGCTGGGTAGTTTTTGTATTAATTACAGAAGTAGGTAGGAACTAAACCTGTAGAATACATGTAGTAGTACAACATGTGCCTGTTGTGAAAAGGTATAAAGTAGAATAATAAGGACATTTACCAAACTCAACCTGACAAAGGATACATTAATATACACCAAACAAGTTATTCAACCACAACACAAAATGAGAAAGCCGAGGGATTGAAAAGGAACAGACAGGCAGCCAAAAAGAAAATCGGATTTAGTAATTTAAAATACTAGATATTAGTAATCAAACTAGATGAAGTACAGTCACAATAAAAACCACTACAATGACACGTTTACTGGAGCTGTCCATTCAGCACCACAAGAAGCAAAACAGTCAATTATATTTCTATTAAAGCAAGAAGACGTGTCGAACAGATTGTAAAGATGTCATTTATAAAGAGCCCGAGAGGTAATTGTGATTTGGATCCATTTCAATACAATTTCATTGAGCTGACTGTCATTCTTCTCTCATCACTGCGCTCTCAGTGTCCCTTTTGTAGTAAATGATTCTCTGTAATATTGAACATGTTTCTGCACAAGTCAAAAATCTGTCCTTTCAATAAATGGCCTGAAAACAACCAAGAGATTAAAGTAAGGAAAGATGCTATTATTACAAGTTGCTATTTTATTCAGACGTTCCTTAAAAAAAAAGAAATGTTGGCTCAATCTCACAATAGGCTGATGAACGACATGTTCATTCACGTTGGATCTTTTTTTAGGACCATAACGTTTTATTTAAGTTAGTCATGTTACATCTACAGAGTTATAGAATGTTTGTAATCATCGAATAAAAGCAATTAAGCTCATAAATATTGTAATTTTCTTATAATATACGGTTTATTTTGACCTAAATGCATTTGTGTGTGTGTGTGATCTAGCATTACTATCCTTGTGGGGACCTACATATGTTTACACAGTCACGTGTGGGGACTCACCTCCCTTATGGGGACATAAGTCTCCAGGAAATGCATGTAAGTCAATGTAATGTCCCCTGAAGGTGTGTGTGTGTGTGTGTGTGTGTGTGTGTGT